AAGCTTCAGCTCTCCCACCTCACTGTCCCTAAAGGGTGCTGGGAAAGGGGAGGGAGGGCAGGAGGCTCAGGGCTTGGACAGTCCCACAGGAGGGGGCATTCCCCAGCTAGCCCCTTTCACCTGCCTGGTGATTCTGTCTCTTTTATGTATGGTTTTATGAGAAGCTATCCCATTCCAGGCACATCCCATTTTCCTGGCACAACCAAACCCTTATCTTGCTTTAAGTTATGATAAAAGGAAGCTGTATACTGAATTAGGTGGTCCTAGCTCTTACAGTTTAAGAGGAGTTCTTGAACAAACAGGCAGACAAACTCTCTCAAATATATAGTAGATGTTGAAACAAAGTGAGGTTATGATGAAAAGCAACTTTATTACTAACATTTAAAGAGCCCTTTTTGGGAATGGTTTATGAAAAATTGAAAATGTAGCACAAATTATTGAATCTCGACATAAGTGTAAGCAATGTAAAGGTTATGGATTTACTTGTTACAAAATCTGATTTTCAGAGAATGCAAAATGTTTTGTTGGTTAAGATAGTCAATAAACTAGTCGTACAATAATTTCCAATTATTTTGATACAATATTAAATAAGGAAATTGGTTTATAAAGTGCCAGGAAAAAATTCTCCAAACTTTATGAACCGGAAAAATTCATTCTTGCTTCCAAATATGAAAAATATAATTAGTTCTTCATCAAATACTAAAAATATAAATTAATGTTTTCCAAATGTCATCTGCAGCTAATTATAATGATTGTAGTTTTAATTCCATTCAAACATTTTGCTTTTATTTAAATCTAGGGTAATCGGAGCATCCAAACTATCTCTAGAACTAAGAGTTGGTGGAATGCTGGTATTCCACAAAGTCATCCAAAAGGAAGGCAAAGAAAGCCTAGCAAGTGGCCCCTGGGATGTGGGTCTTAGCAGCACCTACGTTCAAATTTAGAGGGAATGACATATAAAATGGAAATCTACACACAGGACTTACTTGAGTTACTTGAAGATAGGCTCACTGCTTTCTGGATATGCCCATCTGTACTTCATATGTCCAGAAAATGAAAAAATAGTGAGTGGTGCATCAGGAAACAGATTTCAAATTCAGGACAGGACTTCCAAATTCTGATGATAAGCAGACGAGACTACATAATCCAGACTAAGGAAAACCTCTTCTGTAGACTTTACAAAATGATTACTAAATAGCTTAATCATTTGCTCGGGATCATTTACAAACTCGCTACCCACATGGAAGGATAATATCTTTGCTTTGGGCACAACTCCAAAAAGGTCATTAACAACAATAGGAAATTGTTGAGGAGAAAGAAAACGTATCTCTGAAATACATTATAATACTCAACTTCTAATTTTCAAATAACCATTTTTGCACTGAGCCCAGCAACTTCCTCAAATTGATGTATAAACTACACAAATTGAGATACGCTAATGCTCAAGCAACATGAAATGGGTAAAAATAAGTCTAAGGGAGTAAAATTTGCCCATCTTGTCTATATTTGCCTACAGTGTAATATCGGTACGTGATGCTGTGTTACAACAATGCAGTGTAATAGTAGGTTGTCTCTGTACCAGTATTTTGTGGTCCTTTATTACTCTATCTGATGAAAAATGCATCTCTAAATCATCTCTTGAACTAGAGCAAAAAAAATCTCTGAAATGAAATATTTCTGTTCATTCAGATGCAACAATGGGATAGGCAACCCTTGGTACCTACATCTGCCTACAATAAAATAAAAACGAGAAAAGCAAGATGCTGAGGCACAGCATCGTTTTTGTGGGGGATAGTGTCACCCCACCAACTGCCAGATTTCTACAGTATGGGTATGTCTACACTACAGAGGGGGTTTTCTGGGGGGAAAACAGCCATTTTTCCGAAAAAATGTCAATTACATCCATACTGCAATCATGTTCTTCCAAAATAAAATAGAAAGAACAGAGGGTTTTTTCCAACATTGGTAATCCTCATTCTATGAGGAAGAAGCCTTTTTCCAAAAGAGCTCTTTCAGAAAAAGGCGTGTGTGGATGGGGAAGAAGGAGTTCTTTCAAAAGAAGAGGAAAGAGGAAAAAGCACAGGTGCCCTGGTGGCCACTCCATCCATAGTAATCACAGCTGAAATGCAAGATAGCGTCCATTCAGTGGGGACGCTATCTTTCGAAAAAGCAGATCTCTTTTTCAATGCGCTTTTGCAGTGTGGACGCTCTTTTGGAAAAGTTTCTTCCAAAAGTAGCCTGCAGTCTAGACATAGCCTATTATTATCAGCATGTTTTAGTCTGTGACAGACATCTATCTTTCTAATCAAACACTTTTAGATGGAAGGGATCTTTGTATTATAGTATACACACTTCTAGATCAACAATCTCTGCAGCCAAGGAAGTCAGAGTTCAGCCTCCCTGAAACAAATTTAAAAATACACTAGAATCTCAGAGTCTCCATGGAACATCCACAAGTCCAAACAGTTATCTTTCAACAGGTTCATAAATGTTGGCGTTAACAAGGACTTTCCACAAACTCTACTTACTAATTCAGGGGGCTGATTAGGAGTAGGGGGAGTGTTCTTCTGCGGGGAAGAAAAAGGAAGTACCTTATTTCCAGCAGTCTGAATCATAATAGGATTTATGTCAGAGGAAAGAGCTGAGACTTCAGGCAGTTCTTATTTTTTCTGAACTTCTTTGCTCAGCACTAATAAAGATTTAAAAGCCATAGCTATTTAAATATTTGCAAAACTCAGCAGGGATTTTATATATATATATATATATAT